GGGGGGGGGGGGGACGCTTTCATCTTTCGGCTCAATGATCGTGGGGCCATGGTGTTTTCACCGTGGAGCTCGCATTTATTCCGCAACATTGGCCACTCGAAGCGCCCTCATCACTTTTGATACTAGTGACATCGCGGTCTTTGTCGCATCGGACGAAACATGATAAAAGTATCTCACAGAGAATATAATTTATATTTAATATCACCTCTTGCGCGCGCACATGTATGTACGCATACAAGTTCCGGAAGCTTTTATTCGAGAAGCGGCGCTGTGTGCTTTTTAAATAATTAATTCTCCTTTCCTCAAAATTCGGGAGGATACATGGACGCTCGTTGTGCCCTTCGTCCCTACGGCATCCGCGCAATGGACGCGATAAATATGAAGTAACTTCCGACAGCCTGGACCGCAAAATGGCTCGGTCAGAGCTTAGAATGGCGCCCGAGAAGAAGAAGTGTTATTGTCTTCGTGGGAATTAGCGGCGACTTAATGCCGGGAATTTTCGCCCCGCGACCGACTTGTTCCACCCTCGTATGGGTCGATCTTTCGCGTTTCTCGAGGCATGTCACGTAACAATGTCGGGGTAAAACCGGGACCGACACATCGCCGTTATTGGTGAGAAAATTTTGCAGTTCGCATAAATTTTTTACGTAACAATCGGAGAGACGGTCGGGTGGAGGCTTTTTGTCGCGAAGCGATTTGCCGAAACTAAAAACGCCGGAAGAGAATTGTCGATGGCTTGGTAAAAATCCGTCCGTTTATCGAATAAATTTAAAAATATCGCAAAATAATGGAAATTATAATGGAAATATTCTAGGCGAAAGCATGTACCATTAGCATTTATTACGGCAATGTCGTGAAATTAACTCGTAATTAAGCCTTTACTTTCGAGATGGGGAATTAACCTTGAGACTTTAAGGATAATCCTTTAAGAAGCTAAGAGCCTCTTTGTTAACTAATAATACAGAAATGGATAAAGATTATCCGTCTCTTCAACGACATAAAGGCGCGCCTCATTAACGTCGGCTATAAACTCATCAACGTCATCTCGAAGTACCCGAGGGGGTATCTCGACAGCTAGAAATTAGCTTGTCATTCGGCTATTCATCGTCCAGCGACATGTGTCCAACCACACGTGTACGAGTACCATCCCTCTCCCCAAAAAGATGACTCGACACAATAACGTCATAGAGAATGGATGCGAGACGATAATCGAGGCGTCTCGAAAATATCCGTTCGATCAGCTGATTCGCGATGCGAGATCGATCGCTCGAAATTTCGCCCGCAGAGGGCGAGAGGAAATTACATGCCCGAGTCGAAGAACACCTGCCTCTCCATCTGGATTATTCCCCGCAGAAGGCGCGCATGGAAATTGGAGTAATTTAAAAATGAGAGGGTTCATACAGACCCGTCCTTTTCTCTCCCTACTTTAAGCGAGAGGAAGAATATATTCAAATTAAATTTTGATCTTTAATGCGCTTTAAATTCTCCCCCCTTTGGATATTTAAATGTTTAATTGTTCTCTCGCTCCTCTCCTTAAAACGCAGGTATTTCACATTTCCATATATTTTAAACATTTAATATTCTCCGCCGTTGTACACTTACGTCACGCATTGTCCCCGAAGAACGGGAATTAAATACTAACGTTGAGCGATATTGGGCGCTCGCAATTTCTTCGTAATATCTTCATTAGCATAATTTCTTTATCATAATACACCTCCCCTATTCATCTATCTATTCATCCATCCACTTTGCCGGAGTTAAGCTCGACACGCACGTAAAACATTCACACCCGCCACTACATTGTCGATGCTCGCGCATGTACACGCAACGGTGTTGGGAATCCTCTGCTCTCTCTCTCTCCCGTCCATCCCTCCCTTGGGACGCGTGCACTTGATATCTATGCATGAGTCGACGCACACGCGTGACACGCTCGAGCGTGTCGCGACGACACGTGAGCGCAGCGTGCAGGATCACGCAAGGGGAGGGACGGGAGATGCGAAGATCCATATGCATGTGTGTGTTTGGGTGCGCGTGTATATCTACGAAAGGGGTAGTTAGCCGGTGCTCGATGGTTGCGGCAGATCGAGGGTGCCGCTTTCAGCAGTAATGGTAGATGGTAGTAGTGTGGTGGCCCGGGATCGATCCAGGGACCACGGCATCATCCTCCAGCCCTCAACGACCAACTCAACCCGGCCCTTCTCATCCCCCGAGGCTTCGGGAGGGCAGCCACCTCTCCCCCCCTCTCTCTCTCTCTTTCTCTCTCTCTCTCTTTCTCTCTCTCTCTCTTTTCCCCGACCCGTGATCGCCTTATGGAGAGCTTCTCTCTATCAGTCTGCACAAATAAAGCCTGCATACGGAGCGTGAGGGTATGCAAAGGGCTCAAACGGGCCTGTGGCACTGTGGAAATGGAAAAGAATGACTTCAAAGGACGCTTAAGGGGATGCCATGTTCCGAAGAAGGTGAGATGGGAATCTATGAGAATTCTGCGCAATAGTTTCGCCCCTTCAAAACTAGTCAAGTAAAGTTCTTTGACAATCTGGACTCAATCGTTTCGATGAATTAATACGCAATACATACATATATATGTCATCAAAATATATATGTCATCAGCTGCATCTATGATATTTTATACAAAATAGAAACATGCAGCTTTTGATATTCTTTTTGAAAAAAGATTCATTTTTCAATTGATTGGTCTTCAACGCAAAAACATTGCAATGAAGACCATTATTGACACCTTTACTGATCAATCTAATATATATACATACACACACACACACACACACACACACACACACATATGTGCATATAAAATAAAAAAGAAATGTCCCGATATAAATAAGTCTTTTATTATCGAGGGGCTGTACTTATGAATCGCGTACAATTTCTCGTTTGACTGGAATATCAAAAAGTTTAAATTGCTAGATACAGGAGCAGTCGGATGTATTTTGCTGAGTGCAAAATATATATAAATATTAGCGCGAAAGAAAAGAAAAACGTCGGAATAAACAATAATCTCAAGGTATACTCCCAAGATAAAATTGAAGGCAATTTTTTTTTTTAGGATTAATGTCTCGAGCGGTGAAAAAGATGTTGAAATACCTGCGATGGTCGATGGTTGGTTAGCCGCTCTACCATTTCCTTCGACCGCCGCTTGCCGGAAAGCCCTCTCTCCCTCTCTGTCTCTCTATCTATCTATCTATGTGAGCGAACAGACTCTCGGGCGTGAGAGCAGCAGGCCTCTCGATCCGATGGGAAAGCTCTCTCGTCAAAATCCTTGCCGACGCGAGCGGATTCAAGCAAACCGACTCAGCCAATAAAAGAACCGTTGCGAACGGATTCGACGGTTTCCCGATATGTAATTTCCCGCGGCGCGCAAAAAAAAAGACGAAAAGAGAAAAGGAGAGAAAAGAGCAAGAAAGAAAACCGAGGAAACATTTCCGCCGTTTATTCCGGCGGGTGACCTCACAAATGAGGCAATCGCGCGGGCTTAAGCGACACAAGCCGAGTTTATCGCATTTCGAACGTATCGAGTACTTTAAAGCTGCAAATGATAAAAAAACTCGAGTTCGAGAAATAAATCGGAGTGGCAAAAAAAAAAAGAACACCGAGTACGGAGCGAGCACGGACATGGATATTCGTGAGGATTCACGCGCTTGCGCGAAGGAAATTGTCGCGACGTCCAAGATAATCCTTGTAACTCGCAAAATATAAACCGACGATAGAGCTTAAAAAAAAAAAAGGAATTATTTATCGTATCAGGCGCAGCGAATGATAATCGCTGTTCGAGCCGAGGGAGGGCAACGCAATTTAAAACCGCCGAACACTAAGAGGGCGCGCGCCCGACAATATAACACATGCTGAAGAAACCCTTGCGCGAGACTCTAATGGCTATCCGCTGGTTATCGTTCCTGGATCAAGAACTAATGCGATTGCCGCGAAACAGCCGGCGTAATAGTCGGAAAGTAATAGTACACAGTTCGACATTGTCGAACGTTTATCGACTTCAGCCACGAGAGTGGTTTCCGAGCTGTTAAAATAATTGCGCGCGGGGAGAGGGAACGTTTTTCAGAGCAAATTTTCGCGGCCGATTAGAGCCGGGAACGTGCAATATCCTCTCGAGGAATCTAAATCAAGCCGTTGCGTGGCGGCAATCACGCCGGCCGGGTTAATGCGCGATTTGCGTGGAAACGAAACGCGATACGTCGCGTTTAAGCTCGAGCTGAAGGGAGGTGAAGTCTGAGTCTGCACCCTAGTCCCTTGCGGGAATATCAAGGAACCACGCAATAGTTTCCTGAGTAAGAAACTTCGATCTACTACTACTCCCCCTTCGTCAGACCGTTTTCTCGGAATGCCATTTTACAGCAACTCGCCGTCGTGACGTGAATCTAAAAGGCGGCTGCGCCGAACACGTAGTTTCGTGCACGCTTCATCGTGTCGTAATCTTTGTAATATCGATCGTAACAATCTGAATAATTCGACATTTATATATGTCTTCTCTATCTTTATAGAGCGCGCAGTTCAAAATATCGTGTATTTCTATCTAATATTCTCGGATGCAACATTTAATTAAGCGTAGAACCTGACGAGTTCCCAATTTATATCGTTGCATCCGACCGTGGATCGTGTGATGTTCTAAACACCCTGTGGCTCAAACTTGAGATAGGACACGCACACATCCGCACGCTCTCGCCGTAACCGCGAACTTTCCCGTCAGTCTTCGTGGGAACTTTCGCGTGTGTTCTAGCTCTTCTTCCAGCAAAAGGTTAAATAATGAGTTTCCGCACGGCGGCCGATTAATAATCAGAGGATCATCGAACGATTATCTCAGCGACGCAAAATGGAAATATATATTCCGTGCCCCGGCAAACAAGAAAAAAGGAACATCAAGATGCTGTAATGGCGAACAAATAGAGACACGTTCTTTGATAATCAACCTTGTCTCGAGCGTCGCCTATGATGATAAGTAAAAATTCGCTAATCGAGCTCGAATAATCCTTTTGTGTCGTCAACACGCAAGCTCGCCTCTTCGTTCTTTGTTCAAATTTTGGGCAAATTTGTTCTTTTGCTTGGCAATTTAATTAACAAAAAAAATTCACAAATTAAAAAAAAAAGAAAATAATGTCAACTAGAGAAATGTTAAATAAAATATTGATTAGTTTAAAATTTCTTTAAAAAGACAATATTATATTATGTGAAATAAAATTAGGCAAAAAAAATTCAAGTGCATATGTCTGAAAAGAAAAATACAAACTTTATTAAAGGATTAGATAAGATGACAGAGTGACTTCTCTACTAGAATCCGTCGGGCAGTATATCCATTACATTCCGAAATTCTCGTAAATTGCAGCGAGACTTACGCGAGTTGAGAGTGCGGTTCTAGTAGTTTATACCGAGATGCGGCAAGCCAGCGGCAACTCTCATTACGCCTTACAAACAGTATCCTGAACTTATGGCTGATTAGGACAAATGGAAACGGGGCTTTCCCGGCGGACCGCGCGAACGCGTTTTATGACGTTGCTGTGTTAAGTCGGTCTCGTTACAGCGACGATGGCAGAATAACGAACGTGGCCACGTGGCAGCTCCTCGCCGGGAGAAACGCTGGTTGCTAGGTGACGTAGCACTGCTATATCCCCCCGTGGGAGTCCTCGTACGTCTTTCAGGATTACCGCCTCATTACCGCGCGATTAAAGGCCCCGCCTAGCTGGGAAATTTCTTTTTCGCCCTCTCGAAGAACGTTGTAAAACGAGCTGATACTTTACTTCGACATCGTCGCGTTGCGATGTGACCACGATGATATTGCACCCGATTATCATCTAATTAGGGTACGACGACGGCGTTGCCGCAGCTCGCAGCAATGGGGAAGAGAAATTTCCTCCTCTTTCTCTTCTGGCCTACCTTCCTTCACTCGTCTCAGATAAGAAGGACTTTATGGGACGGTATGGCGGCGGTGTCACTGGGGGCAGGATGCAGCTCGTAAAAGCGCTCGTTAAGGTCTACACCGTGATTACGCGCATCCCCTTCCCTCCCTCCTCCCTTCCCGACATTTTCAAGACTGATCTTCATCGAGGAGGATTTTCTGTAATCGGATAAGCGATTAATTCCCGTTCTGTAAACGAGAGCCCAGGGTGTCGTTGATTTTTAACATCCCGCAAACGCGAGAAGAAACGCGTTCCCGTTTCCACAACTTTTCTGAGTATCTTTGAATTTCAAGTAACGTTTCGAGACATAAATTGCGCGAGTACCGTTGTATGATTTCATTAACAGTCCCTCTCGGTAAGATTTACGTAAGGCGAAGGGTATTCGGACGCGGGAGACCAGAACCCATTTTTTGCGATGATAGAAAAGCGCTTCGAGATTCGAAGTAAATCCATCTCTCATCGCGAGTAACGTTTAGTGTTCTGTAAATTCACCAATCCGTAATAATCCGCGCGTAGCCGCAATATTATCAGAATTAAGTTACTCATTCGGTGTATTACTCAAAAAGCTGTCACGCGATAATGAGGCACCTATTCAAATCCTGTACGGGGATCAAAATGGAAGGTAAATGGACAGCTTCAAGCGCTCCCGGCATTCAGATGTATCCGATAGGACGATAAAAACGAACGGTCTAATCCTGCGCACCGACGGGGCTCCTTTATTCTCTCGCGGGGACGTCTCCATCCATTTTCATGGAAGGAAAAGCACCCGCGTCTTATGGAAACCCTCTGTCAGGGGATA